TGTGAACTTTATACCATGTGAAGAGAGCGGATATCCAATTATGGACAATGCTCAGCATGTGAGGTCTGGGTTTCAGAGGGTCCTCAAGGAACCCTGACCAGGAGACAGGCCGTGACTGCTGACTGCCAGTCTCTCCTTGAGGACTTGGAATGGCTGCTTTAGGAAGAGGACGTAATAAGAAATCCTATTTGCCCCTCCGGAGACTATCTCCTTCTTCACGCCGTGCCTGTGTGCACAGAGAAGAAATTCTAAGTCATCTTTTAATCCCCTGTCCCCTTTTTAAAAAATAAGTTGTTAGCACGTGCACTTGTCAGAAGGGACAGCAAGAAAGTGAGAAATCACTCCTCATGGGGAATGGTCACCCCACAAGCTCTTCTCGTCTACTCCTCTTGGGATTTTGGATATGCACTTGGCATGGTTTTTAAGCCACTGAGTCTAGGACTCGAACTGAGTAGTCAGCCCTGTGGGATCCAGCTGCTCCAACCACCACACCACCACCAAATCTGACCCTGAGACATTTCTACCTTCTCTCAAAGTGCTTGAGAAACCACCTCACTTGATGACAGAAATGAATGTTTTCATCCCAACTGCAAACTGCTTGAACTCAACCCTCGTCCTAGCAGAGGGAACACAAGCCCCTTCCACAGGTAATGTGCTTTTTCTTTTCTTCTTCTTTTTTTTTTTTTTTTTTCATTATCCCTTTAACGCAGAGCAAGGCTACTGATTACAAAGAGGCAGTTTGACTCCGGCAATAGGTCTTCTTCACTAATCCTCACTGTCATGGAAATTCCAGCTGCTACAAGAATAAGAGGCTCAATCCATATTTGCCAGCTCTAATATGAAATCTGTCAGAGCCCAAATTAATGAGTTCCAAATTCCTTACATCACGATAACAGGTTAAGACTGGTCAATTAATTACATAAATCCTTCCCGATTCATTGTGCGTTTGCGGCTGAGATTGTGTCTTACATTACTCCCTGACACAAGGCCTTTGGCTTCTGTTGTTCCACAGAAAGGCCCCATTTAAGTGGAGGCTGCCTGCCACGGCAAAATGTTAAATGTCACACGTTAAATTTGCACTTTTCTGTAATTGCTTTTGTTAAAAAAAAAAAAAAAATTAAATGAAAGCACAGGGCTCCCGGTACACTGCTACACGGAGGGCTGGGGTTGCACGGAGTGGATCCCAGACCAGGCCAGGAAGTACCTGCATTTTAGCTGGCAGCTTACACAGACTCCTCCAGACCGGCGGCTCTGCAGGCAGCAGAAGCCTGGAGGTGCACACTTTGGAAAGTAAATCACCTTTCCTGAAGCAAAATAGATTTTTGGAAGATTCTCTTCATTATGAAACAGTTCAAAGAGGATTCCTGGAGCCAGCAGGAGGCATAGTGGTTAAGGCACTAGACTCCCACATGGTGGACCACAGTTCGAGTCCCGGTTACAACAGCTTGGACTATACCAGGCGCCGTGTGCCTGCATGTTCCAAATCCCAGGAGGAGAATGGAGAAGGGGATTGTGGCTTGGCCATCTCCCCTGAGGGTGATTTTCACTCTCCCTCTCACCGTCTCTGTCTCCCCAGTCAGATTTCATGCCCTAAGGCAAAAACCTTAAAAAAAAAAAAAAAAAGGATTCTTTATATAGCCTGCTTCCCTTGCCTACCGGTATAAACACTATTGGCCTGATCGCCTTTGCAGGAACACATTACACAAGTGTGTATGAAGTACATTTGTGTGGGTCTTTGCCTCCAGGAAGGATGGTCCCCATGGCTTTGCGATTTCGATTTGTAACTAGTACACACCCACAGAGGATGTAATATTAATAACCGAGCTCTCAAAGGACCTCAGAATCACCCAAGCCCAACTTTTTAAAAACATCAAAATGCACTTGGAATCCCAACTGGTTAGAACTTGATGTAGAACGGACGCCCTCCAGATTCCTGGCGCAATGTCTTCCCCCCACTACATTTCTCTGGGGACATTCTCTGGAGACAGTCGCAGTATAACCAAACGGAACCAGCCCTGGTTGTATTCCTGGATCGCCTTACTGTGCGCTGGGTTCTGCGAATGCTCACTTGGGAGCCTTACCACCACTCCTCAACGCGGCCTCCCAGCCAGACCCCTGACAGCGCCTTTTTCCGCCAGCGGCGCACTGGCCCGGCAGCGCCCCCTTCTGTCCTCCGGCGGCCAGGCACCCAGTGTGTCCGGGTCGCACGTTACTCCTGTCCAGGGCAAAAAAGCCCCCGAATGGGGTGGGAGACTTGTTCCTCCCCGCGCGCGCACACACACACGGAGCGCCCCCACCCTGACCCAGGGCCCCTTCTGGCCCCGCGGACACGTGCTTCTTCCTCAGCAGCTCAGCTCGCCGTCAGGCGCCACTGTCCCCTCCCTCTCCAAACAGGAGGGGGCAGGTTAAAGGCGGCAGCACGCCCGCCGGGCAGGTTTTAGTTTCTCGGGGGACGGGAAGGGAAAGGGATCATTAATGCATGCATATGCAGACGAAGACTTTTAGGACGCATGTTTTCCCCCCCCAATGGGCCACGACCCGTGCGTTCGCGGGGACCCTCCAGGCCTCAGTCACACCCAGCCGGGGCGGTGCGTCGTCGCCCTTTCTTGGGTCGGTCGGCGGGGTTGGGGTCACAGAGCCGAGTGAGCGTCCGCAGAACAAAGACTCGGGGCCAGCCCAAGACAGAAGCGCAGCCTCCCTCTGCCCGGGCGCGGCCACCCGCCCCCGCCACGCGGCAGCAGGGCGTCGTCCCCACGCGCGCTCGCACACCCGCTCGGATCCCCGGAGCTTGGAAACCCAGAGGCCCGGCGGATGGTCGGTGTCTAGGACTGCTTCCCGCACCAAACCCGCCCCCAAGGCCCTGCTGCGCCATTACTGTATTTTCCCTATTAGTATAAGGGCCCCAGCCGTCGGGGTCGCCCTGCAAAGCTGGGAGGGGCTCGCGGTGGCCGCGTTTGAAGCAGGTGGGGCAGGAGCTGCGGGTCTGCGCTGTAAATCCCTGTCTTTTTGTGGTTGTTTTTCCCACTCACCACCCGCCCTTCTCCACTTTTTTTTTTTTTTTTTTCCCTTTCCGCACCGCCGTTGCTATGGGGTGTGCAGGACGCGGCGCGGGAGAGTGCGCGCGAGCCGCCGAGGCGCCGCAGCCAACAGGCGGCGGAGGGTGCAGCCGCGGGAGCGCCACCGCCGGTGGGGTGGGGGGCAAAGCTATAAAGAAGGCCCAGAGGTAAGAAACTAGCAAAAACACAACCACAAGTTATGCCCGTGCTGTGCCTCTAGCAGCAAAGACAAGCGGTGTGGGGTTTTGGATGAATCTACACTTCTCGTCGGGGGAGAAAGGGTATTTTCCTCTTTAGCATAAACCATTTGCATAGTGCCTTTAGACCAGAGTTTAAATACAGCAGAAACTTGTGGCTTTTTTTTTTTTTTTTTTTTTTCTTTTTCTCTTTTTTTCTCTTTATCTTTTTGAAAAAAAAAAAAAAAGAAAAAGTCGTTGGAATTTTGGAGAATGAGAAAGGTTCATTAACTACCAGAGTGTGCGTAGCTAAAATAAATTAGTGTCCAACGCACTGTTCATAACAATGGTCTAGAAAAGTTTCCAGCGAGAGTGAAGAGCAATTGTGTCTGAGTTAATGGTGACAATGGTGACTCGTTTGTAAGATGCATATGGCAAAAAAAAAAAAAAAGCCAAAATCCTTTGAAACTAGATCAAATTTTAAAGAAATTGTTGCTTGTTTACATCCTTTAAAATTTTTGAATTCCACTCTATTCAAATGTATTCATTTCTTATGACTTTTATTTGCAAAGAAAGTTGTAGCTATGCTTTGTATGTCAAATTGCAATAATTAATTTCAGACAGCATTGTATTTGCAAATGTATTTTTATATAATAAAGTAAGGTCTATATCCCAAACAAAACCCCAAACTGTATTGAAATACATTGGTTTCCTCTACTGCAAAGATGCTACATTGTATTATAGGATACCAACTAATTTAAATATTGAGGAAGACTATTTAGAAACAGAAGAAGCTTTTGTTATTTTTGTCTTAAAATTTTAGAGGCCTTTCATGAAAAATTATCTTCCTTTATAATCTGTCTTCTCAAAACCTTATTTGTACCACAGTAGCTCAGTAACGGTGACTTCTTAAGTCACCAAAAGAGAAAAACAAAAAACAGTTAAAAACAACATCCAGTTTACTGTTGGATTATAATTGCTGGGCTAAATTAATTTCTTTAAATTCTTAATAGTCACAAAAAGGTGATGTTGTATATTACTTTTCATTTAATTATTCAATAAAATGTGACCTAGGCTTGGAAAACTCTGGAAATATAATTAGTATCTTAAGGGACAATAACTGTTTAAAGATAAGCATTTGTGTTTCTTTCCTCATTTTTAAAACTTGAAATGTTAACTAAATTTTAATCACTTTCTTCCAAGTGAGACTTTAAAAATAGCTTTAAGTAACAGGTTGTTGATTTTCATTGTTGACACTTTTGGGTGATATATAAATCCAGGGGTAAAATAAGACACATAAACTGTCTTAATAGGTGAATAGTTTACCTTTCAGAATTAGTCAGGGAAATAGTTTTGCTCTCAGTAAACCATGAAGCATCCAGGATTAGAATTCTTTAAATTTAAATCAAATTTAAATTAGTGTTAAATACATCCCTTCTATTGAGTTCAGTTACATAAATAATTTTTTTCTTCTCCTAAGGAAAGCTATAAAAATATACTACAGAAAAATAAGAGATAAAGCAAGAAAGCCACTGTGAGCTAAAGTTGATTTGAATATCTCAGCTGCAAGAAATCAGTTTTAAGAAACCAGTGCTTGTTAAAACAAAGTGATCGAACCGACATTAAATGTCTCAAATATGGACCATGATAGTGAGCACTAAACTCTTATCAAGATTCTTCATTAAAAAATGACTGATAATCCAAAAACACATGGATTTGGGTCTAAGTCAGAACAAACAGATCGTCTTGTAAAAAATAAATGCCCATACCAAGTTGATATTTTTCATGTTTAATGTGAAAACAATGATCGTATGTTTACATACCAAATACTAGGCATTACTTAATTTTGATGGCACTGTTACATCATTAGAAAATAATATGACAATGGTGGTACAGTGTATACTCTTCAAACCTGTTGTAAAACAGAAGAAATATTGTGAATTCACACACATACTGGGCTGAGGACAGCTCCTCAATGCCCCAATGGGCAAGCTTTGCATGTCAGCAAGATACCCTGAAATTGTTAAATCTGGGGTTTTCCTATATTAAAATAATGAGACTTAGATAATAAAACAACAGGATCTAAGACATGTTAAATGATGTTAAATGAAAATATTTACAATGGGTAATAATGCTTTATACCAAAAAAAAAAAAAACCAGAAAGATAAAGAAATTACTCTTTCTAAATTTAATTTTTTTCTATTGGTTCTTAGTTTCCTGTTGGTCTTTTTTTTTCCCCTATTGGTTTTTTGAAATAGAGCTTTTTAGTAATACATTAATGTTTAAAATCATAGTTAAGATAAAAAGTCTGCTTTTTGTAGCGGCCTCTCTTAACCTCCAATTAGGTTGGGAAACAGTTAATGCAACAAGTTACCCCAGTTCTGTGAAAATATCTTCCTGTTAGTTTCACAGAGATATTTTACACCATTCAACAAGGAAGAAAATTATCTCAAGGAAAGGCTGCCTCATCTCTAATTTGAAGTTTAAAATAGTTTACCTAAGTTTATCTTTGGGCCACTAAAAAATAAGAGTGTCATATTAAAATAATATCAGTCTCCAGGTATATGCCTAAAAAGAAAAGACTTTTTAAAAAAATGAGTAATGAATTCCAAACTGAGCAAGGTGACATCATTTTCAAAGTTATGGGACTATTTCTTGGGAGACTTGATGTCTTAATTTTTAGAAGATCCTTCCTTTGACTTAAAGTAATAAGTAACACCACTGATACTGAAAGTTACCTAGTGATAGGAGATTGCACATTGAGTCAGTAAATGAATCATTAACCTGTAATTCTAATTATGTGGAGATAATGAAAACAAATTATTTGTTTCCAGAAACCATTTGTTTAAGCTGATTTGGGACAATGAAAATGTATTTCTGTATGTTGCAAGTATAATTACAAGTGCCATTTCTGGTTGGTTGTTTTTTTTTTTTTCCTCTAAAATGTAAACATTATTTTTATAAGAATCTCTATTCCTAAGATACATTTTCCATCTACGTGTGAAATACAATACTGCAGAGGTTAAATGCTCCAAACACCCAAAAGTAAAGTGTCGTGCCAGTGCAGGGGAGGTATCCACGAAGTCCCAGCCACACGTCTGCGAGAGGGGGGCAGCCTGGTGTACGTTTTCCTCTTCGGAGTGGTTACTGTCACAAACGCTGTGTTTACGCTGACACTGAAGCATTGATACGAGAAAGAAGGCTCTATCTTGAGTTTAAATGCTACCTATTTTCTATCTTTTAAAATTCAGTCAAACCAGCTAGGTTTTTTCCAATACGTAAATCATTTCATTTGAGGGCCAGATCTTATTTACCAATAATGTTTCCCTATTACAGAGAGCATTGCGTTCACAGGCGTTTAACTTGATACAGAAGCTTGGCTAAAATAGGACAACATAAAAATACCACTAATACACAACCCAACGTCTCTTAAGAATTTAAATACCTATTATCACGACACTGAGCTTTAGGTAAGAATGTGTTACTAGCAAGCTTTTTTCTCGAGGACTGGACGTAATTTGCTATTCCTAAGATAGTAACATTAGAATTCTTTTTCAGGATTCCTGCGGAGCGGTACTTATTTTACATCCGTGTGAACTGCTGTCATCGCTACTGTGTCCAACCCCAGAGGATGAACTGGAAAAGAAGAGAGGGGGAAAATAATAAAAAGAGGAAATTGGTTTTCACAACACACTCAAAGCCTGAGTAACAGAGGAGAACTTTAATTATCTCCAGTCACAAAGAGAGACAGGAAATTTGGACTTTTAATTAGCCATTTGGAGTGCAGTTGGATATTTTTTTAGCTAGATAATTTAAACGCGAATAATTCAAGTCTGACTAAATGAAAGTCACATAATCGGAATGCAGATAATTGAATTTCTACTGCATTCATTAATTCAGTGTGGAGGTGTGTGTGAAGACTACTATGATGAGCTGTCACAGCTCAATAAAATCTCAGTCAATTAATTTTTTCATTATCTTAGTATTACATCAACAAAAAAGTGAAGTGTGTGTATATATCTCTCCACATGCATATGTGCACTGGGTGTTACATAAATATGTATACATTAAATCACAATGCAAGGAAATACCTTTCGGAATCATAATCTATATCGTTCTCTTTTTTTCCTTCTTCATCCTCTTCAGGGAAACGTCTGTTCATCAAGGCAAACTTGTGAATTGCTTCTTCCACAGAGTACTTTGTCTGCCCAGAAACACACGCCTCGATGTCTTCCGAGTTCAGATGGCTCTGCAAGAAGAGGTGAAGGCTGCTATCTGAAAGCAAAAGTGCATTCTGGAGGACTCTAGGCAAAAGACAAGAAAGGAACAAGACTTGGTGAACAGGGGTGGGCAGTTGTAGGGCAGGAGAGAGAAAACAGTGGAAATGGACCGCCAAAGGAATTTCTCTGCTGTGGTAAACTTTGCGTCAATTATGGGTTCTGCCCATTAAAGGGATGAAAGCATATGTTAACTTTTATTCAATTATTTGGAAATGTAGGTGAGGAAACACGTGAAGCTAATAGTTACGAACATCTGTTAAAAGAATAACTTCAAGGACATTTCTTCGATTTAACCATCTGTTATGACCATGTGGATTAATTATGGAAATATTTTGCTTATAGAGTCATAGAAATTTATTCTGCTTAAAAAAAATTTATTGCCAACAGCATGTCAATTCAGTGATCTTTATTGAACAGGCTGTCAAGAAACATCAAAACTTTCAACTACTATTAAAAATGATACGAAGAAGTCGATACATTTCTCAGCATGTTTCACACTTCGGAATCTGACCAGTGGCTCAGCCATGGTAGCGTGCGTTGGTTTACACTGCTGGTTGGCAGGCTGAGGCCACACGGGAGGCCGGGGTTTGATTCTCCATGTGTCCTAAAAGTTGGGCACAATGTCCAGCTCCTGTACTCACAGCTGTTCTGGGAGCTGAGGCAGGAGGATTGCATAGCAGTACCCCATCTTAAAAAAGCAAAACGGGCCAGCAGGTAGTATAATGGTGGAGGCACTGGACTCCCACATGGCCAGCCACTGTTCAAGTCCCAGACCTAGCAGCTTCCTTTCTCACTTTCCCTCTCTGATCAAATTAGAAAAGAATAATAATAAACAAAATAAGTAATTCTTTAAATAAAAAACATAAAACTTGAAGTATGCTTATGTACCTAAGTATATGTTTATAAGCACTTATGAGAAATTTTTTTTTTCCCAATATCTAAGGTTGAGTAGAAATTTCTCCAGAATCTTCAGTGGCACTACATCTCAATGTTGTGAAAATGAACAACCAAATAAAATCGATCTGTCAATTTTATCTTATATAATTAAAATGTAATAATTCTGTGATGAGTATATTCAAGATCAAAGTTTAGAAAGACATTTTAATTAGTTTATCAGCACTATCGGGAAGATTAAAAACTCTCCTGTAGCAAAAATCTACACAGCTCAAATTCATATTATTGTGTCTTAGAAGAGGGAATGAAGTCAAAGTCAAAAATAACCTTATATTTAAATATAAACTAGCTTTCTCTTTGTAGGAAAGACTGTGACATATAATCATTTAGTCTCTACCATTAGTTCAGTAATGTAACAGGAGATACTAAACCCGATTCAGGGACAAAACTAGGCTACTAAAACTCAAGTATAATTTTGCTCAGCATGGGATTTTTTCATATAGAGGCTTATGAAAAATAAATCGGGTATTTCAGACCAAATAAACCTTACTTTATAGTCTGTATACTTAAAACCAGTAACAGAAAAGTAAATCTCTTTCGGCCATTGATAGCAATCTAGTTACAATCCAGGGCCACTAAAATACTGTCTTTCTCTTCAAAATAATGAGAACTATTTCTTCAGAAAGGCAAATGACACAGTGCTGCACAGTGACAATACCAAAACTTAGCAGTGTTCTTTGTTTCAGTAGATTTTAAATTACCGTCTGAGAAAATGTTCTTGATCAGTCTACTAAAGAAAAAGGAAAACCTTTGTGTGTTTTCAAAAGGAAGAATCTCAAGCAAAGCAGCTAAATACTTCCTCTCTCCATGGCCTCTGCCCTGGGTTCTCCCAGAAGATGACCACATCACGTGATTAAAAATTAATCGGCAAGTAGCCAAGGAGTAAAAACCCTTTGACTGCTCTGCAAGATGTATTTTCTACCTTTACAAATGTTTACTACGGTTGTTTTAAATCCTTTCGATATAGGAGAAGAGTTAGGCAGCAACAACCCATGAATAGGAACTTGGGTTTGCTGGAAGTTTGAGCAGCGCGTTCCCCATGCTGTCCTGGCAGCCACAGCACAAGTAACTGTTCATAGGATTCTACTGGCTGCTTTGTTGCTGTTGGAAATGTGTTTTATTTTCTTGATAAAATAATGGGTAATCTTTAAAATTGATTTTAGATGGTTTGAGGCATTACACCACAAAAGCAATGAGCACTAATGCCAATGATATTGGACACAAATTCATTTTAGCTTTATTTCATGTCTAAAGCAATTCTACTGAGCCTTGAACTGCTCACACGCCGTTATTAACTTGCTAGTAACCTAACACATGGGTACAGCCAACAAAAGTGATCCAAGTCCAGGTTGATCAGGACCTCAAGGCTACCGTCCTTTTCTTGAGCTATAATTCAATTTCCAATTTTACTGTACATTAGACTCATTATTTTGCAATGTTTTCTTTTCTGCTTAATACTGCCATCTGGAGGACACAGCTGAAAAAGAGCCAGACCCACTCAGCCCTGAGAGAGAGAGGGGTGGAAGGGGAGGAAGCACGTGAACACCGTCACAGGCCCAGGGTTCCAGCGTGTCTGCTAGGCCCAGTTTTGGCTTTCTGAATCTCTTCCATCTCACTGGCTGAAAGTCTCCACTGTTCTTCGTGGTTATAAGTTTTAAATAAGCAGAAGTAATTTTTAAATCAATTTATGCTTTTTATTTTACAGTCAGAAATCTCATTCTGAAATACAGAATGCACAGTTTTGAGAGGCGTTTTCCCCTCTGTGTGGGTGAGCAGAGCTCATTCTGGGACCGTGTGATTTACTCTCTACTAAAGTGCTAGGACCGACATCAGCATACCAAAAGCTATTTTTTCCTTCTATTTGTGCCACACTTCTCCCAAACAAATCTAATAGCAGAAAATGAACTTCAAGCTTAATATAAAGAATACTTTGTAAAACAGTCAATAAAATGTCATTTGTAGAGGCCTCCATAAAGACAAATACATATGATTTTCAAGCCAATAAAAAACAAACCGAATATAGCCTCTAGAATGTTAAAGGAATTTCCGAAAAGGTATTTACAACAGGAGTCAAATTTCTTTCCCCATAACAACTTTAAAGCAAACAAAGCAAAACCTGCCTTGTCCCTGAATTGGACACTGTTGAAATCTGGTTTTTCCCCACATGATTTTATTCGGTATCTTATATATTCGTTTAGCTGAGGATAACGTATAGCTGTGAAAGGTCACTGGATCCTAGCTAAAGACGTCCTGGCTCTGCTGAGCCCTATATAATGAGACATGCCCACACAGCTGTGTAACGTGTGGAAGGTTCACAGCTTGAAGTAAAAAGGAAAAGAAAAAAAAAAAAAAAGAGCTGAGCCAGTTTACCTCCTACCACTAAAAAAAACTACACCTACAAATCTTCATTGAAGTCAGTCATGATCTGTGCTATGGTGCCCTCTGCTGAACACAAAAGACTTACAAAAACTGTGTGTGTGTGTGTGAGGGAGACATTAGTGTATTTTTCAATGGCAGCTTTTTATTAAAAAACTTTCTATTCCTTAAATTTTTAAGACATATAAAAGCACAATATAAGCAGATGTCTAGTGGAGGGTAAATGTAGTTAATTGATGGATTCAGGATCGAAGGGAAGCTGACGGCTATTCACGATAACCAAACCTAAAGAATCACTAGGAAAAGTTGGGAGACTCACAAACAGGGTTTATACTTTAAATCTATAACTTTGGTTTTCATTGTGATGAAAAGCAACTTTCAGTTTATGATTAGAAGAAAACTTGAAAGCAAGTTAAGATTGAAGAAAAATGATTTTTTTTTTTTTAAGGGAGATTTTTGCTACAGGGCACGTACACTTGCTGGAGAGAAAGAGGCAGGGAGACAGAAAGTGAGAATCACTCCCCCAGGGGTTGGCCATGCCGCAATCCCTTCTCCCTCATTCTTCTCCTGAGATCTTGGGCACACACGCACACATGCACCTGGAGTGAGTTTTACGCTGCCAGGTCGGGGACTCAAACCACATTCGCTTACATGGCAGTCTAGCAATGTAACCGTTACACCATCTGCTGGTCCTGAGAAATGAATACATTTGAAAAATCTCACAATCATACAGGCCAGGCTTCACTAGCATGTAAGAGTTCTGCTGATGATAAACTTGCCATTCCTGGGGAATAATACAGTACTTTCACCTTTCTTAGAATTCCCTTTATCTAGAAAACGGAGATAACACCCAGCTCCTAAAATTGTAGTAAGTATTGAGATAAAACCTGTAAAATGCCAAACACGTCGCAAGCGCTCAATGAATGGTATAAATTACTACTATTGGCACCTAATCAAAGAAACCATTTTCTCATTTTCTATTCTTCTATGAAGATCAGCCTAGACATGTACGTTGCTATTAAATATAAATGACTTCACACCTGACCCTGGAATTTTACAAATACATTTTAACATACACACAAAGAGACATTTTGGTTTCAAAGGATTCAAACACATGCAACTGTTTCTGGTTCACACATTTAAAACTTGTATAAAAACTAGACTAAAAAGAACACTAGAGGGGCCAGCAGGTGGTGTAGTGGTTACAACACTCCCACATGGCCAACCATGGTTTAGTCCCAGACCTGGTGGCTTGAAAATCACGCTGGTTGTGTGTGCATGCATCCCTGCCAGAAATCCCAGAAGAGTGGAGAAGGGCCATCCCCCCCAGAAGTTGATTTCTTTTTTTTAAAAAAAAAAGGTTTTTGCTATAGGGCGTGTGCACTCGCCAGACAGACAGAAACAAATAGAAAGCAAGAGATGACCTCCCAGGGGAAATGGCCATGCCGCAATCCCTTCTCCTCCATTCTCCTCTCGGGATCTTGGGCACGCACGCACGGGCACCCAGCATGAGTTTAAGCCACCAGGTCTGGTACTCGAACTGCGGTCGACTACGTGGGAGTCTAGCGACATAGCCATTACGCTAACTGCTGGTCCCAACCCCCGGAAGTTGACTTCTCACTTTCCTTTTCACTGTTTCATCTCTTGTCTCAGGCAAGCACACATGCCCTATGGTTAAAAAAAAAAGGGGGGGGGGAATACTAGATTTTTTAAATATATGCTAAAAAGCTATAGCACAAGCAAATTTCGCATTTTTACTGTGGTTCCTACCTAAAGTTTCCAAACAGGGTACAGGCTACTGATGGGTGGCCCTACTTAAATGGGTAACCAGCAGCCTCAGAGGACATGGAGCTGGGGTCAGGACACAGTGCTGAGTGCTGTCACCACCAGGTTCCCAGAGTGGGGTTGGGCTGGGTCAGAGGGACAGAGCGCCAGGGGCAAAGACATGGGAGGGCGTCACATTGTCACCAACCAGACAAGGACCGGGAGAAAGCGCATCAGTGTGAGGGATGCAGAAAGGAGGGGGAGGTGGGTCAGGAGGGGCCACAGAGTTCAGGTCAGGCCTGAAGCCCCCGAGCGGTGTCAGACTCTGCTTCCATCAGGTTTCAACCATGGAGAAGCACCAGCTTTCATTTCTAATGTGAACTCAGGAGTTTGAAGACAATGTTCACGTATCATGGTGGCACAAAGGACACCGTAAGAGAACCCCGTGACTGTTCCATGGTGGGACTTCCGGATGGTAATCCCCATCCAGTTTTAATGAATCCAGTCAGTCCCTGATATGGAGATGGGCTTTCCCACTAGAAGGGAAGCTTCGCAAGGACACAGATCTGAATCCACACCGTTCTGCGCAGTGCTGTATCCCTGGTACAAAACCCTTGCGACCAGAACACTTCATCTGTCAGGGAAGGCCTAGCTGTCAGAGTCCTTTCCAGGTCATCTTCCGAATGACACAACCACACAGTGAAGTTGGCAGTGTGTAAGTTCCATTATTCCACTCTATAGAAACGAAGGCTCAAAGGAATTAAAGGACTTTTCCAAGGTTGCATAGCTAGAGAAAAAATCAGGAGCCACGATTCATGAGACACATGAAAACCAGCTCGCTGAGCTCCCAAACCAGGACTCTTTGCACTCTGACATCTGCATCCGATACAACCAGCAAACAGCCAAACACTACGCTGCAAAAACCACCTAGCCGAAGTGTAACCCCACTGTGGCCGAATGCCACTCACTGGGTCATTAAAATTGGTAGATCAACTATGGATGGAAAGGTTATCCTCAAAACAACGATGTGATTCCGGATCAAAAACACACGCATTGTGCTTCACTAGCAACAGAAAAGCAGACACTTGCGTCTTTTGACCTCAAGCAAGGAGACGTCTCTGCAGAAGACAGCTCCACGGTGTTGGCAGAAACTGCAGGATCTGCCCTCCCCCACCCAGGCTTCCCTGGGGATGGTCACTCTGCAGCTTTCCCAGGGCAGCATCTAGAGCAACAGGCCACTCTGCAAACTGGAGCTGCAGGGACCACACCTTAGAGAGAGACTGTCAGCCACCCGGGGCTTGTAGAGACAACAGTTGAAATCAAGGCCATCCCCAGAAAGGGGACAGACCATGTAGAGGGTGTTCATCTCTCTCTGCTTGCATGTGGGCATGCATGCGCTCTTTCATGAACAGAAAAGGGGTTTTTAAAAAAGAAGAAATTAGGGCCAGCAGGTGACATAGTGGTTATGGCGCTGGACTTCCCCGTGCCCAACCACAGTTTGAGTCCCAGACCTGGCAGCTTGAAACTGACGCTGGGTATGTGTGCATGAGTGCCCAAAATCTCAGGAGGAGAATGGAGAAGGAAT